CATAAAATAAAACCTAAAAAGCTCAACCAAGAATTCTACATCCAACAAAATTATCCTTCAAAAATGAAGCAGAGAATCTTCTCCGGACCAAAGATATTTCAGTCTTTACATGAAATCATACTACCAAATATAATGAATTGCAGACTCTGAGTGGGGGAAAAATGAAGGAAAATTTAAGACATTTTTAGATAAATGAAAAATTAGACAAGCCCTTCAGTTTGAAACGAAAGAAGCCAATACATTAGCCCAAAACCACATGACAGTATAAAAACACCACTAAAAGTAACTACAAAGGTAAAGATAAAATCTAGGTAAATACAATAGTATAAATGTATGTTTTGTTTTTAACTTTTTTCTTATCTTACATGACTTAAAAGTAAACTACATAAAACAAGAAGTCTAAAACTGGGGTGCCTGGGTGGCTCAGTGGGTTAAGCCTCTGCCTTGGGCTCAGGTCATGACCTCAGGGTCCTGGGATTGAGCCTCACATCAGGCTTTCTGCTCAGCAGGGAGCCTGCTTCCCCCTCTCTCTGCCTGCCTCTGCCTACTTGTGATCTCTCTCTGACAAATAAATAAATAAAATCTTTAGGAAAAAAAAGTATAAAACTGTATGTGTTGGTGGGCTTAATATACAAAGATGTATAGATAAACATAGCAGAAGAAGAAACAAAGGGAGAAAACAGAACTATGTAAGAGTAAAGTTTTTAATACTGAAATTAATTAAGGGTAATAATTCTAACTAGGCTTCTATAAATTATGATGGCAACTGAAATCCCCAAACACTAAGAAAATAAAACAAAACAATCCAAAACCCAAAATAACAACTGTTGGCACTGCTGGTGGGAATGCAAAATGGTGCAACAGCTGTGGAAAGCATAATGGTGGTTCCTCAAAATACTAAACATAGCAGTGTATTTGATCCAGCAGCTTCACTTCTGAAATCTAACCATAAGAGCTGAATGCAAGTAATGTAAGAAAGATCTGTACAACCACTTTCACAGCAGCATTATTCACAATAGCCAAGAAGTAGAAGCGAGTGTCTATCCACAGTGGAATGGAGAAACAAAATGTGAAATCTACACACAGTGGAATTTTATTCAGCAATACAAAGGAATGACTCATGGTATAATATGGTTGAACTTTGAGGATATTGTGGTAAGTGGAAGAAGGCAGTCAAGAAAAAGTTACATTTTGTGTGATTTCCATGAAATGTCCCAAAATAGGCAAATCTATAGAAATAAAAAGTAGACTAGTCGTTGTCAGGAACTAGGGAGAAGGAAGGAATAGAGAGTGACTGCTGATAGATACAGGGATTCTTTTCAAATGTTCTCTGATAGCAATGACTGCCACACAACTTTCTGAATATACTAGAAACAACTGAACTGTTCATTTTAAAGGAGATACGGTAAATTATAAAAATATGAAAATTATGGTATAGGAATATTTCAAGAAGGCTCTTATTTAAAAAACAGAAATGGAATACTATAAAAAGGGACCATACAACTGGAACAAGAAAGGCAAATTTTTAAATCAAATACCCAATATTCAAGTGGTCATAGTATAACTATCATACTTGTAAATGTAAGTTTTATATTTACAAATATAGTTATATTATTTATATTTACAAATATATAAATATAAACTATATTTATAAATATAGTAGCCATATTCCTAAAGTACCTTACTCAGAAGACATGAGGTTCTAGAAGGAAAAGCCCTCCAAGTACACCATGCAAATAAATGAAAATGGTCTCTCAGACAAGACCCATCATCATGAAGTTTCAGACCAAGAAAATCAAAGTTATCTACATAGGATGAAGAAACAGAATGGCTTTAGAATTCTCCATGGAAACACTGAAAGCTGTAGTGACTCAATGAGGCACTGGCTTTAACATTCTGAATGACAGGAGCCTGAGTGGCTCAATCAGTTAATAAGCATCTGATTTTAGCTCAGGGCATGATCTCAGGATCCTGGGAGCAAGCCCCATGTTAGGCTCCCCCACTGTCTACTTGTCCCTCTGCCCCTCCCCCTGTTCATTTTCTCTCTCAATAAATGAGATCTTTAAAAAAAAAAAAAAAAAGTGACTTTAGCTACCAGATAGACAAGACTCAAATAACAACCAAATGCATGGCCCAAAAGTGAAATTCCAGTTCCTCCAAAGTGAAGCAGAAGAAAGGACTGGTCTCCTCCCAACTGTGAAAGGGAAAAAGGAGCTGCACCTCAAGGCACATTTTTTATCTTAATGCTTATGTCACTTAGCTGATATTATCAAGACATTTTATTCATCACACATTTCCTAGAGATAGAATTAATCTTCTCAAACACAGCACTCAGTGGAAAAACTTTTAAGAGAGCAACATTTTCATTTCAGGATGAAATGCACGTTTCAGAAAGCACCACGCATATCCCACACGTTATTAGTCCTATGGCATATCTTGCTAAGCCGAAAATCTGTGATGCTCACATAACAGTAAAATAGATAAATATAAATGACTAACAGAAGTCTAGAATGTTCAAGTATTCCCATCAGCCACTTGGAGCCACAGACAGCAGACAATGAATCTTCTAAACAACAGCAGAATTCTTCCAAGGTCTCATTCCACTCACATGTGTCACTGGCAAAATCAAACTAAAGAAATACGAAGAAACACGAAGTTTCAGCCTCTTTCACCAGAGTAATGCCTCTGAAGCACCAACAGCCTCCTTCTCCAGGCACCGTGTCTACCAGAGTTTTACAGCGACAACCGAGAAGGACGTGGGCCCATTTCCCTAGGACCACCCTCTGCATGTGGTCTACAAATTTTAGGAAGGATTTTAAGTCACATCAGGGGTCAGAAACCTCATTCCCATTCACAGAAGACCAAACTAACTCTTCTGCAGCTTTTCATTTAAAAAAAAAAGGGGGGGGGGGGGGGGGTGGTATAAAAACCAATCACTAGGAGTCTGAATGAGAAGGTTCTAGCCCCTGGTCTGGTTGGCATTAACTGCCCCCTGGAGCCTGACTTCAATCAACCTCTGTGTTGGGGTCCCCAAGTCCACACCCAGGTTTAATGACTGGCTGAGAGGACTCAGGGCTTGGCGCACATTCACACTCATGGCCATCACTATCATACTTAGGACACTCCAAGAAACCAGCAAAGGGAGAAGGTACGGGGGAGAGGTCTGCAGGAAACCAGGCACAAGCTTCCCAGAGCCCCTCCCAGTGGAGTGGCGTCACAGAAGACATGCTTATCCCCAGCAACAGGCTGTGACAACGACAACAGTGTGCCGTGCTATCTTCCAGGGCTCTGCTGGGGCTGGTCATGCAGACACTCCCTGGGGTAGCACTTAGCAACATGCCAGCCTCCCCAAAGGAAAGCAGATGTTCAGTGTAACACACACTGCTGGGGCACGGTGAGCTACTCTCACCCACTCCTTGGAAATGGGAAGTCCCCCCAGATCAAAGCTTCCAGCCGCCAGCCCAGGGGCAGCATTGCAAGCCGGCCTCCCCTAAGGACAGCAGTTTCCTCTGAGCACTCGTCTCTCCAGACCTCAGTGTCACCATGTCACCTCCCAGGAGTATGGGCTTGGTATAGAAGCCTTCAGACAGAACACAGATGTCCCACTAGGTGAGACGGTCTGCTCATAGCCTAGAGCCCCTGGGAGCTACCCAGCCTGGTGAGGCTCCCACCCCCAGCAGGAAAGGGCTTCACTGCTCATAGCCTGTCTTCCCAATGATGACACTGATATCATGAGTAAACAGCCCTCTCCCGCCAGTCCTGCCCTCCCTGCTCACCTGGGCCCTCCAATTTTCCCTAGAACACTATGTAGGGTTTTTGTCTTTAAGTTTGTCTTTCTCCTAAACGTTCTCCCATATACTCAAAGACAAGAAAGCTGAGGTTCATAAAACACAGGGACAAAATAAGTCTATTCTCACAGATTACCTGTTATAAAAAACATGAAAACAGTTTTATACCCACCTAATAATCTTGCACATAGCTCAGGGGCCATCGTGAGAGCAACCTGGGAGACAGGACTCTCAACAACAGTGAGTAAAGCCCCAGCTGCCTGCTCACAGAACCCCTACTTTAGGGTAAAGGGCCTGCTTCCATCATAGGTAATTAAGGGACATCAAGATAGAGGACTCCAGTATATTTCAAAATCCCAACCCATATGTAGACTCCCAATATTCTGTAAACTCTTGTGAAATGGGGTAGAGAAAATTAAAAGGGGAGTCAAAAGAACAGGGCTTCCCTCTGAGCTCTGACTCTTGCTGTGTGCTCTCCCAAGTCACTTCATGGGTCCTTCTATCTCCTGGACACAGTGACGGGCTCAGACAAGCTGCTCCAGAAGCCCAGGTCACGTGTAGCTCCCCACGACTTGCGCATTACTCTCTCCCTTAAAGGAATGGGGCGAAGCACAAAGGGTCTAAGATTCCCCCACCGTAGTTAAAATTATAGATATCCAGTTGTTCATTATTTTTTTAAAACGCTGACAACAACAGAGACATCCGTGGACTCACTTGGTCTTGGATCTGATGAGATGCGGATGCCCTTGCACTGGCCTCTATGAATTGAGACTGGCAGAAAATGACCTTTTCAAAGATGCTTTCCAGAATTATTACTTCTTTATTTCTATCCAGGCTCATTCTGGAAGGCTTCATTAATCCAAACAAATATATCTGAAGCACCTACTGCACCAGGTACTTGCTGCAAACTAGATATAACTACACAAGCCAAAAAATGCTTAAATTGTTCAATACCTTTCAATTTTAAACATGCTTCTAGAATCAATACATGGCATGAGATGTGGCTAGATGTCTGGGTGACAGTCCTCCTTTTGAGTAAGTGGAATGGGAGGGGCCCCGACACACGATCTGAGTAAGGCCTCCGACCACCAATCCTCTGACCACATATTCTTTTAACATAATCACCACTGTAAATTAAGTAATGCAAACCAGGTGGTTAACTGAAGAAAGAAGATGAGAAGAGCAGAAGGAAGGAAGACAGTCTGAACTCACCGGGACTGCGGCAATCCTTTCTTACTGAGGTCTGCCCTCACACGTTCTCCCACGTGTCTGTAAATCTCCACTAAGCTGTTTATTGCTGCGTCTCGAACCTAGATGTAAAAGAAGAGATCTTACAGCTGCTCTGTGTCAGTCCACAGCGCTTCCTGCTGGGGCACAACAGGCTGTACGCCACCCCGAGTTTATCACCAATCTGCCAATGCAACTGCGATACAATCCCTTATAGATGTTTGACTAGACAAAGCCATGATGCTGGTACAATTCCAAAGGGGAAATTCAAGTCCCTCCCTGTAGATGTGCTAAAGTCCACATCCCTTAGTGCTTTCAATTTTTTCAGAGGACGTCAGGAATCCACAATTTTCAGATCACTTTCCCAAAACAGAAAATACTACAAATAAATGAATTATACTAAAAACAAAACTCCATGTAAAAAGCTTTCTAGATTGAACTCAATAAAATAGTGAGCAAAAAAAAGGGTAGTAAAAGCCATTATACATAGAGCCCTGTATTCAAGAAGCTAACAGTCCTAAAAGGGGCTTGGTGGAGGGGAGGGAGGGGGGCGGTAGTCCATAAATTCTTCATTTAATACAGAGCAGGATGTAGTATATATCATACAGAAGTGCAAAGAACTCACACAGTTTAGAGAAGGGAGCAAATATACTAGATGATAGCAAGGAACATTCTCTGAAAGAGGAAGGAACCACTTAAAATGTGCTTAAGGGACAGCATTTTACCAGATAAAGATGGAACGAGACAGGTTCCAAACAAGGTACAGCCTGTGTGTAAAGGCATGAAAGCAGAGACACATGGCATGTGCTTCAGGAAGAGCGAGTAAGTAGTTGGAAAAACACAAATACAAACTAAGATAAGAAAGCAGCAAAAAATAAGGCTTAAGAAACAGAACAGATTTAAAACAAACAAAAACAGGGAAATTTGAATACAGATTGTACATAAAATGTTACCATTTTTAGCAATATTGAATTTCTTAGATATGAAAATAACATGTAATTCTATAAGAAAATATCCTTGTTATTTAGAGATATAAACGGATGTATCTCAGAGCAAAAACATCAGGTCAGAGCAAAAATATTATGGTTCAGAAAAAAAAAAAAGAGTGCGTTTCTATGTGGGGGTATGTGTATACGTACAGGGAGAAAGAAAACAAATGTGACAAAAATGTTAACTGGTAAATACAGATATTACTATTAGTCCTAGTATTTTTCCTAGGTTTAAAAGTTTGCCAATAAACACACGGTGGGCGGCAGGTGGGGGGGTACAACTTTCCAGTATACCCTGGAACCAAAGCCAGCCTGTGAAGGTTGGGGAGGAGCGGGGAAGGGTACTTACTTCGGTAGGCAAAGAGAGGGGAGCAACATGCGTTTGTGTTTGGTTTCAAGCAATGACATCAAAATAACAGAGAATAAAAGGCAGAGGAAGGAAGCAGGGACACAATTTATAATTCTCAATACTGCCAGCTACTCCTGATTTAAGGGTTTACAGGTTATAGGACAGGTAACTTCACAGACCATTTTTCCCCTATGGTGGAAAAGGGCAAATGTTATGTTACAGACTGTTCGCATTCCCACCCCCAATATACTGAAGTCCTAATCCCCCAGCACGACTGTACTTAGAGACAGGACCTATAAGCACATAACTGAGGTGAAACAAAGTCATAAGAATAGGGCCCTGACACAAGAGGTTTGGTGTCCTTCAAGAAAAGACACCCACAAGCTGGCTCCATTCTCCACACAGGCACAGAGAGGTCATGTGAGCACACAGTGAGGGAGCAGTCCGCAGACCAGGAAGAGACCCCTCCCCCCACTTCCAGAACCAGACAATACTGGCACCCTGATCCCAAACTACCAGGCTTCAGAACTGTGAGAAATGCACTTCTGTTCAAGCCACCGATCTATAGGTCGGTGGCCCAAGCCAACTAATAGATTATCAGTTTACTTGGGAAAAGAAAGACCTTCTGAATTTAGGCACCATTTTTATACAGAAACATGGATTTACTATATAAGCTGTTAATGCCACTGTCTCCTGAAAATGACTCAGCCCGCTTTCTAATGAATGATATCTGCTCAGAGCCCATCACCTGAATGAGCAAGCAACATCCTGTCCTACTTAGAAAGTCTGGACCAACATCAGTTTAAGAGATTTAGTGGGAAAATGACCAGCCTTAGAATCAAAGCACAGCTGAGTACCTCCTTGGCCCTTTAGAAACAGTGTAATCCCAGATCCAATATATAAACTATTTTAGTCTCCACTTTCTCCTTGTGAGCTGAGGGCTGCTTGGAGGGCTAGAAAAAACAACAAATTCATTCCACAAGTATCTGAGCGTCTAGTAGATGCCAAAGTAAAGTGCCTCAATGGCCCAGGCGGGGACCTGGTAGCTGGTATACAGTGACAAATGACTCTGGCAGGGGACCCTGCTGGCAGAGAGAAGAGGGAACATGGAGGGGGTCGGGCAAACAGGCCGCCGTCACCCAGCCTGGGAGGAATGTAGGTATGGGTCTGCCATATGTAATCTTTCAAGAGAAATCAGGAATACGAATCTTTCAAATATAAGAACATCAAAGCTCTTAAACATAAAGCTAAAACACTGTGCAGACACACGCGCCCACACATGAGGCTACGATCAGGTTTCAGGCCAGCAGTGTGGAACCTATGTATTGCGTGTATAAAACGCTCAGCATGCGACTAGTGGAAGGAGTATATCTACATCTTCTGAACCAATCTCCTTAGCCTTCAAAATCATCATTCCTCAGGCTCCAAAGCTATCGGGTCAGACAGCATTTGAGGTCTAGAGCACCCTCGATTCAGGAAATAGGGCAGAACATGTTTTCTTCATTTTCTTCGGTCTACAAAGTACTACACTCCAACTGCCAAGGGACATTCTGTAAAAGCAGCTCGCTCAGGCTGAAGGCACAGCACGGCGCTCACTAACACAGCCACGCGGGCCCCACACTGCTTCCGCCCACCCGCAGGCTCACCATTAAAAAGGAACCCCAACATTTCAGGCCACTGGGAGTACACAAGAGCCCCAGTACATTAAACGCTAACTGGCAGGCCCAAGTTGAATGCTCTACAGAATCTGAGCTCTTCAGATCTGTGGCCTCCTGCGCAGGTCAGCTGTTGACTGGAATATAGAGGAGGCTAGCCCCCTGCTGGGGCCCACAGCAGGAAAGACTGATGAAAAGTTTAAAGGAAAGGCAAGAGCACAGGCACGTGCAACATATACACACAGCCCAAGGGGAGGAATGATTCCGTGCATTAGCAGCAGAGAAGCAGGTGGTACTTTCCTGGCTGGAGGGCTCTGGGAGACATGGACTGCGTGTGTCTGTGCGTGTATACGGGTGCAAATAAACCTTCCTAAGGCAGGTGGGGTTCAACGGATGACCATCTGAGTGCACAGTCTGGGGTACTCCGGCTCTGTCCGCGACAGACTGCCCAAGGATGCCCACCGAGCACCCGCCTCACTGCGTGCCAATGCTCAGGGTCCCAGGGGCCCACCGCGTGGAGTCACATCACCCAAGTGGCCCATGACAGCACCTGAGTTAGGAACAAGAACTTCAGCTAGCCAGGCTGGCTTTCCCACTGGACTTAAGGATACCATGTGATAGCAGCCATCACCTAATGTGTGACCTCAATAAGGGATTTTTTTCTTCCCACAGAAAACAAAAATGGAAACAAGACCAAAAAGGGAGAAAATGCAAAACAACCCATTTGGTAACTTAGAATTTTTTAAAAAAATTGTTTCTTTTCAAATTAACATTGAAACATAAAAGCGTGATTCAGTAAATTGAAACATCTCAAAATTCCACTTCCAGTGTCCTATACTTTCAATGAAGGCTGGATAAAGGAGTGGATGGCAAGAGGAAAGCAAATGAGATCAAAAGAGACCCGGAGAACCCACAGACAGTGCACAGAGGGGCTGGGGACAGGAAAAGCAGCAACAGAGATAAGAAAGGGCAAAGCCGAGGAAGAAAGAAGGACAAGAGCCGGAGGGGCCCAGAGCCACAGGGACCCGGGAGCCAGGGATCCAGGGAAAGTGGAAGCGAGCTAGCACAACCTCTGTGGGGACATGTCAGCAATGATCAGTCAGGGTTTAAAATGAGATGCCTACGTACCACGTGTATTTCTTTGGTTACTGTTCCAATTTTCGGCTCCTTTATCTAATAAGGTATTTTTCTTATGAGTTCATGTGAGCTAATTATCATAAAAATGGCTCTCAGTGATAAACGGAACTGAACCCGTGGGAGAACCGGCACTTCTAAGGCCCAAGCTTGGAAAGTTCTGTGACCTGCCTGGTGACTGCCCACGGATTACCAGCTCTTCTACGCCTACATTAAGGAAGTGGTGCTTCGGTGTTTGGTCTCTGGATTTACCTAAGATCTACATAAAATACCATCCGTGCCTCATAAGGGTTCAAGGAATTTCATACACCATCGTATTATACAGCACCCGAACAAAATACAGGAAGTCTCCATCCCCTCAGAACAGGTCCCTTAGGCCCCTTCCAATCAATCACCTGACCCCAAGAGGCAAAGCCTGACTGACTGCAATCAGCATTGATCACTTTTCCCCAGGGCCACCCTGTTTTGGCTGGAGAGTGAGGGACCAGAGGGACGGTATTTCAGAGCCTGGTCTGGGTGACATCACTTAAAGGATAGCAAGGCCTCAGCCATATAGAGAACAGGGCGGCGTGACCACCATATTCACCAGTGCTAAAGGGCATTAGTGCTCATTATTTGGAACAATTATCTGAGCATTATAAATAGGAATAGAGTCCCGCCCACCTATCAGGTACACATAGAACACCAGAATGCATCTTAAGGGTCTATAACCAATATTCTTCTTTCTCACTAAAATACACTCACCTGGCTGTTTGGATCTCCAAGTAAATTACATATATGTGGCACAATCTTGCTTAGTGTTAATGTATGTGCTCCAGAGCTGAAAACAAAAGGAGTGTTTTACTGTTGGTGAGAACAAAGAAAAAGAAATACCCCCACACACACACCTCCAGGGCCTTCTCGCCCCCTCACACCTCCGCTCCCCTTCCTTCCCATCTTCTGCCCACCGAGTTCCCAAATAAGCATGCCACAAAGGCCCCACCCCTTGGCACAGAGTTCAAAACCTTTTTGTGCTGCTCGCTGACCATGCCTTCTCCCCGGCACTCGGGGCGCTCTCCATTCTGGCTCCCAACCTGCGATGCCAAGCCAGGGCCCCAGCCTTTCCTGCAGCCTCACACATGGCTGCCCCTGCATTATTATTCTGTCATACAGGAGTTCCTATTTTGCTCAGCTCAGTGTTTTCAACTAAATGGCAAATCCCCTGAGGGTCCTCCTCCCTTAACTCTCCACCTGAGCATAGATGAGGCTCAGTGAACGACTGCTCCGTGGGAAGACCCTGACAGTGGCCACAGAGGGTTCCAGCAAAACCTTGCCCTGCGGGACAGCACGGGAGTCACCGACCACCTTTCACCGTCATAAATGCCAGCACAAATAGCCCTTGTGAATGCCATTCTCTCTGTTAATCTGATGACTTCTTAGGATACATTCTCAGAAGTGAAACCACTGTGATCAAAACTAGAACATTTTTAAGAGATACAAATCTGGGAAAATTTAATGGTACTGAAAAGGCTTAACATATGGAGTGAAAAAATTTATAAGGTGACATAAATCTTATTATCCTAGTTCTGTCTTTGAAGTAATATAACTTTACAGGTTGAACTAAAAACTCACTACAAGTTAACCATGATTGTGTGAAGGTGGTAGAAATATACCAGATCATTATTTTCTTCCTGATGTAAATTTTCTGACATATACAGTATCACTTTTATAACCAGAAAAGGTGACTTGTAATTTTTCTATTTTAAAAATAGAAAAATTGGTGGGCTTGGTGGGTTAAGCCTCTGCCTTCGGCTAGGGTCATGATCAAATGTAGACCACAAAGAGATACCACTACATACCCATCAAAATGACTAAAAGGAAAAAAAAGAACACTCAGTGCTAACAAGAATCTGAAAAAACGGAATTATTCATACACTGCTGGTGGGAATGTAAAATGGTACAGACAACTCTGGAAAACAGTTCGGTGGTTTCGTTAAAATTAAAGCTACCAGAGGACCCCGCAGTGGCACTCTTGGGCACCAACCCAAGAGAAATGCAAGCTTATGCTGCTGCAGGGACACATAGTTACGCGTTCGCGGCAGCTCTGCTTATAGCAGCCGGAAACTAGAAACTACTTGAACATCCTGCAACAGGTGAATGGGGACTCAAAGAGATGTTTGTACCACGGAATTCTCTCCTCGGCCATAAGAAGACATCAAATACTGTTCAGGCAATGCCCACCACGTGCAACCCCAAAGAAATTACACTGAGTGAAAGAAGTTAATCTCAGAAGCTCACGTTCTGTTTGATTCCATTTATATAACGTTCTTGAAATAAAACCACAGAGCTGGTGAGCAGATCAGTGGCTGTGGGGCAGGGCGTGGCATGAGGGAGGCTGGTATGCTGCACAGGTCTGTACCTCATGGTGTGTGTTGGGGAGGGGTCCCTGGAGTGACACACAGGACAGGATGGGACAGAACTGCACACCCAATGCATGTGTGTCACCAGAGGAATCCGTGTCAGCCCTGGGCATTGCCTCAGTATTGCTCTCCTGGCGCTATCAGTGCATGGTACGCATGTAAAATGGAAAGAGTAAAGGGCCATGGGGGAAGGGTGCACGGCACTTCCCTGGACATTTCTCTGCAGTTTCCAGAAGTCCATAGTCACTTTGAAACACAAAGTCACAAATAAAAACGCTCAGCCAAGGAAATCCCCCCGCCCCGCCTGGACTTACGCATTGAGTGTGGCAACAAGGCAGAGGCACGTGCCTTCCCGAGTCCGGAAATTCTTGTGCTTGAAGCCTCCCAGCATTCGGTCCCACACATACTGTAGGGGACAGAGGACAGATGTGAAGAGGAGGAGCCTTTCACTTGACACAGGAACGACAGAAGAGGGACCTCTCAACAGGTGCCAGGTCATCCCCAGCCACAACCAACCCATTTCATCTCAAGGGCATAATGAAAAATGCTAACTTGTATTTCTGTATCAAGTCAGAGTTTTTCCAAACACATTCCTTTATATAATTGCATTTAGTTATGCCAACGGCTCCAAAAGAAAGGTGTAACCATCTCCATTTCATGGGTGAGGAAAGTAAGGGAAAGCAAGGCTTGGGTCACCTGCCAGAGAGCACACAGCGCTACTGCTCTTCTGGTCTGGACAGCTGTCCCCGCCTTAGCCACAAGTCACACATGTGCTCATCTTTGAAGACGTTCTGGGTTTTACCTTCCCTGGATGGCTTTTCCTAATCTTTCCGCCATCCCACCCACCTATACATTACAGAGCGAGAGCCTAGAAGACAAGGCTGTGTCCCTCTGTCCATCTATCCGCCGGCAGCCCCAGCTCACTAGCAGATAGGAATGAGGTAGCTCTAGCCAGCCTCCTGACTCCCCAGACACCACAACCACCTCTTCTCAGAGAAACTGAGACAGTTACACAAACGAGCTCAGGAGTCTAATGGATTCAACCAAGCACTCGATACCCATGTTAAGCCCACTATTTTAATCAAAGTATACCCTTTGCTATTTATGATTTTTTAAAACATCCTCTATGGGGGCGGGGGGGGGGGGCAGTGCGGTTGGACAGTGACAGATTAAATGTTATGAAAATTTTCATGTGAATCACATCAGCTTAAAAGAAATTAAACCTTGAGAGATCTGGGTGGCTCAGTCAGTGAAAGCATCCTATTCTTGATTTTGACCTAGGTCATGAGATCAAGCCCCAAGATGGGCTCCATGCTGGGCATGGAGCTGCTTAAGATTCTCTCTCTGTCCCTCTGCCCCCTGCCCCTCCCGCGCACACATTCTCTCTCTCTCTAAAATAAAAATTATATAAATAAAGAGGTAAGTAAATTTAAAAAGTAAATAAAAAATAAAAGAAATTAAATCTATTTTTAAGATTTAATTTAATCTCCCCCCACCCCCGCCAGAGAAAGAGCATGCACGTACTGGGAGAGGGGTTTGCAAACAGAGGGGGAGAAAGAGCATCTCAAGCAGACCCCCCACCGAGCAGAGCGCCTCCCCCCACTACCTGGGGATTAGCAGCTTGATCCATGATCTTCAGCAGCAGAGTCTGGTCTTGCTCTCGCACAGAGTCTTTAGCGTCTCCCAGTCTGTCTATTAAACTTGGCAGCACTGAAAAATCGAAACGCAAATTGATCAAACCAAAGCCAATTTTGGAGAGTCTGCAGTTACCAAGTGGGTATTTCAATTACTGGGAAGACAAAATGCTGACCTAAATGTGGTACACCATCCTAGAACCACCAATCCTCACAATTCTACTCTTCTCACTAAAACCTTTTCGAGCTACTATAAGAATGTGCAAAACCAGGCGCCTGGGTGGCTCAGTGGGTTAAGCCTCTGCCTTCGGCTCAGGTCATGATCTCAGGGTCCTGGGATGGAGCCCGCATCGGGCTCTCTGCTCAGTGGGGAGCCTGCTACCCACCCCCGCCTCTCTGCCTAGTTGTGATGTGTGTGTGTGTGTGTGTGTGTGTGTGTGGTTAAATAAATAAATAAAATCTCTAAAAGAAAAAAAGATTAAAAAAAAGAAGAAGAATGTGCAAAACCCTTTGCATGGACACACCACTTGTCTTCTTCCTTAACCGACCTTCCTCCAGCTAGCTCCCCGCATGTTTTAAGCTGGTGAAATATTAAGAAGGATGTCAGTGGAAGACCCTGGCAGGATGGAGTCAACACATAAGGAACTTTATGTAAGAGAGGGCTCCAACATTCGCTGGGGATACAAGGAGCAGGCACTTACAACTCAGCCTCTCGTCTACACTGTGTGTCTGTCCTTTCACAGGGTATATATACACGCATGTGTATTACACTCCAGCTGTGACTATCAGCTAGTGCTCCAAGGGCATTTACCTACCAGAAGTCAGTTTACTTAGCTGCTTCTAAGAGTCTATAAACCTTTCTTTTACAAGAAATATCCCTGAACAACTCAGCTAACTTATGAGGAAAATGGAATGTTATTAAAATATCAAATATCTAAAAGTAAGGGAGGTTTAATGTCAGTTAATGATATTTAACGTTAATGACACTTAATGCCCTAGGAAAAGAATTCTTAACCTTATCTGAAAAAGCGTATTGACCAGGAAGTTAACAGAAAATAACAAATATACACGTAGCAACCAAAACTGAGAAGTTCTGTAAGGAAATCCTTGTACAAACAGAGCTGCTTGGTGCTTGTATTGTCATTATGAAATTCCAGAGATCAGGAATTTAGAAATGACTAAATCATCTCCTAAATGATGAAACCTGCTTATTTTTTATTTCATTTTGCTGACATCCTTTTCCCTCCAAAATAAAGAGCGATCACTTAACGTGCACTTGTAACAACATTTATGATCAAAATGGAAACAGTTAACACCTAGGATATGATCTGGAAAAAACACAGCCACATCGGATTTGCAGACCTTCTCAAGATGGGAAAGCAATGCCTCTCAACCGGGGCAAATACAATTCTGTCCGCACTAAAATGTGATAGTTGATCTGCATAAAGAATCTGTGTAAGAATAAAAGAATTAGGGGTGCCTGGGTGGCTCAGTGGGTTAAGCCTCTGCCTTCAGCTCAGGTCATGATCTCAGGCTCCTGGGATCAAGCCCAACATCCGGCTCTCTGCTCAGCAGGGAGCCTGCTTCTTCCTCTCTCTCTCTCTCTCTGTGCCTGCTGCTCTGCCTACTTGTGATCTCTCTCTCTGTCAAATAAATAAATAAAATCTTTAAAAAAAAAGAATAAAAGAATTAGCAGTAATGCCGTATATTAGAACACAAACGCTGGAAGAAGCCAGCAGAAAGGTATGGTAAAAACAAAAAGCATGAAGATGCCAGCAGATGTGGTGAGGTGGCTGGATCTGGGGTGACCCCAGGAAGGGAGGAGGAGCAGTGGTGCAGCCCCAGCAAGCAGGAGATTGAAGGAGGACTCAAGGGCTGGCTGGGAGGGTGGAAGGACTAAAGCGGAAGGGTGGGTGCGGTGGGGGGGTGAGGGCTGGGTACCGCTATGTGGAGGATTTGGGGACACTGAGCGAAGGCTGGGGGCTGGGCGGTGTAGAATGTGGGGCCCCGCTCCACACCTACCCACAGCTCACCTGTGCCAATCTGTGCCTTGAACCGGTCCTGCAGCCGGGTGACCAGGGCGGACAGGATGTCCATGCCGAGAAGAACCACCTGCAAGGGGAAACACCGGGAACCCATTAGCCGCTGGCCTCGGAGCCCACGCTCTGGCCCACCAGCTCCCAGGACGCTCCCCCATTCCTGACGCAGTCCAATAGACCGGAAAGCGCATGCCGACTAGCAGAATAAACTGGTTGTCAAGAGGGCCGCTCTGATACACAAAGCGCTGTTCACAGCTTAAACACAAAACGTAAGGTGGTACGAAAGGAAATAAAAAACAGCCAGAGGGGGATACACCCAAGGCGCCAGCGGACCAGCGTGGAAGCCTGCGCCGCGGCCCCGCCCCCTACCGGCCCCGCCCCCTACCGGCCCCGCCCCGGCGAGTACAGCGTATGCAAATTACTCGCAGCTGGTGCGTAGCCTTCTGGGTAAAACCAAGCAGCCTGTTCGCGACCTTCCGAAGCCTCAGAAAACAAGAAGCTGCTGATTTGCTTTCGGCAGCTGTGCTCAACACAGGTACACTAGCTACCAGGCGGCTAGGCCGGGCGTTTCGGATTAGTCACCCCAACCCTACCCGGTATTGGCGCTTCCTGCTTGCAGCGCACGCCCAAAACCCACCAACCATCCTTTTCTTGGGGTTGCGCTACTGTCCAATGAACGTTTAGTGAGGACAGTACTGCTGACGCCTGAACAACACACCCGCATCAATTAAAGCTTTGCTTTACCTTGGTGCAATTTTTGGAAAAAATGAAAACCCCTTTTCCCCCCAGATTTAAAAGTACAAAAAGAACAGATTATTAATATTTAGGTGTAAGTGTATTATCACATAGTAACGCTAGAGGCTGCTCTAACTCAAATCAAGCGGTACATCACCACTCAATCTTTACTCGTAGCTTTTCTCAAAATTTCCACTTGGAATTATCTCTCAATTCAACAGTTCTTCCTTCATCCCTGTTTATCCAGGAATGTTAACTCACCTACTTAACGAATTCTAAGTACTCCCAAAAAATAAGTGGAGAAAAAGTAAACCTGCTTCATAAAACTCAGCTTTTGCATCTCACTACGTGATTAGCAGACGTACTGAGACATGTTTAAAAAAGTATGACGCCACCTTAAAAATGACAATCCTCCCTACAAACCCTTTCTCAGTAGGAAGCAGTTTTGCTTTGTGCAACTTTCCTTAAAATATGGTTCAAAACTAAATGAAGTAGCCCAGTAACTTACAGGACCAATAAATGAACAAGACTGAAGCAATGATAACCCTAACATCAAGCGTTGTCATTGTCTCCTTTCATCTGTCACTGCAGCTTGTAAATTCAAACACTGCAGGCTTTTTTCTACTCAGCTTGGAATCCACTACCTCGAAACTGCCGGGTCAGAACCTAAACTGTCCTTGCAAGGACTGGCACCTTGAAGATATCAAAGGAAGTAATTCTTAAAATTCTTTATAAAGAGAACATTAGTTGGGAGGTTTTTTTTTATATGTAATGGTATAAAACATTTAAATATAGTGGCTTTACTTATCAGCTAAAGAGGATTTAGGTATCATACACTGATTTCCTCCAAAGACTACAGTACGGAAGTAGAGGGGAATATTTTTACAGTGGAGAAACCTGAAAACCACCACCTCAAGCAGACAATGGGGTCAATATCAACAGTCGCAATTCATGTTGAACAGCACTTGCTGTTGTGTAATTAAAATGACACTTTACATCTGTGAGGTCCTCCTCCAAACCTTTAAGCCCAATTTAATCATGAGTAAAACATCAAATTCCCATAGACAGACATCCTACAAAATAACCCGACCAGCACTGCCAAGGCATCTAAAACATGGAAGTCCAAGAAACTGTCATAACTTAGAGGTGTCTGGAGACACATGATGACTAAATGTGATGTGGTGTCCTGGGTGGGATCCTGGAACAGATAAAAGCCAGCAGGAAAAAAGTGAGGAACTCTGAATGAACTTTGTCAGGACCTGAGTTAATAATGATGTATCAGTATTGGTTTATAATTTTAACTATAACATACTAATGTTAGATGTTACTATAGAGACTGGGTGTGGTGTACATGGACACTCTCTACACCACCCTCATTTTTCTATAGATCCAAAACTGTCCTAAACATTAAATCTTGTATTTTAAAAAGAGAAGCCCATCACTTAATCAGAACTGGCTTTTCCCTGATGAAATCCTAAGCATGAGTGTGGCTGCATTGCTGGTTGGAGGTTGGAGGGTTATTCATTACAGTAACAGTGAGAATGCTGCCTTCAAGTGCTCACCACATCCCTTCAGAACGCATTCAAGACTAAGGTGTAAGAGGGCAATTACACATTCATTTTGAATGAATTCAAAATTCTGTCAGATATCACAGCCCTTGTTGGTGAAGCTATATGTGGAATTTGAGGGAACACTGTCTTTCATCTTTTCCAGGATGGAAGTTTACTTGGTTGTTTTGATCAGTTCAGGCCTAGCTCCATCCTAAAAAGAAAATTCCAAAACGTCTTGCCCAGACAGACTGGGGAGTCCAGAGACCCACCACCACCACCAAGAAGCCTAGGTTGGCAGATGCTGCCAAAACCCAGTGAAATAGGACAGGAGAGGACAGAACACAGCCCCGTGCACCTTCACCGCAGAATAAACTACTCTGGAAGGAAGCAGAGGGGCTCATTTATAATTGTCTAGTTCACCCTGAGTCACAGCCCCAGTGGGCAAGGAAGGGAATCATCACCCACAAATGTTTATCTTCACAGCTCAGGCCCTGCTCCTATGTTTCCATTTCCATACTGAAGACGGGGCTACATGAATAGCTCATTGCCCAGAAGACCCCAATTATTGGCTGTGAAGACTCTGTGTGCCTCAATTTCCTACCTATAAAATGCGGACAGCAGCAGCAGCAGACTCACAGGTCACTGTGTGTATGGGAAGTGCAGGATATAATGCTTGGTGCGTGGTAAGGGCTAGCCTCCACCCCTGCTGGCTGTTACCACCAGCTTACTGTCACTGCCAGCACCGTGGACAACAGGTACAATCAGTGCTCCGTGAAGCCTACGATTCGACAAGGGACTGGGCTGGGATAGAAGGCTTCCCAGAAAGAGTCACACTACATGAGGCTAAGTTTTGAAAAACCAGCCTTGCACCAGAGGAAGACACGACCTCAAGGCAGAGAGAAGTACGCAGGCAAAGGTGTGAGACGGTTGCCACGATGGGGGGACAGCTGGAGCTGAGGGCAAGGCTGGGAAGCCACAGGGCACGTGGCTGCCGAAGGGCCTCAGACATGTCTGCAGGATGACAGGGCAGCCATTGAAGGGCTGGATTGGTAAACAGGGAGTGACAGGGAGCTGGAGATTTCGACAGGGCACAGCGAACAGCATGAGGAAGCCAGCCTGGGAGAGAGAGGGCAGAGACTTTGGGGGAGAGGGGCTCACACCCAACACTTACTGCCTTTAGTTTCCACCAAGCCATTAACTCTGCATTACCTTCAAGCACCTCCTTCAATATTCCATTTCACTTTCTGAGTTTATGCTTGATTCCACAGCAAAACTCCTTGAACGTAGGAATACTGTGCTTTGTGTTTCCTCAAAATTCCCCTAATAAATATAGCACAACAGTGGATTCATGGTAAACAGTCAATAAACCCCTTGTATACAAAACAAAAATAAGCTAGTTTACTGATTAGTAATGAATTCATTTGAAACGGATGAGTTCTCAAGGTACAACACAATGCCTTTACCCTACAATTTTAAAAACATGCTTTCAAAAGAGTAAGTAATCGCTAAGTACCTCAAACTAACCCTCATGCTGAAAATAACTAAAAATGCTAAATTATAAAAGAACATCTGCTTGGAAACATCAGAGAACAAGGAAGGCGAAGAAAGTTACCAGGTCCTGAAACACAAGTAAACTAAAATCCAGAGGGATAAGCATGCAGCAAATAGTTCACTTTTGCCCTTGGGCCGTTTAAACACTGGGAAGGGACAACCAGGGCAGTGAAAATTGCTTTCAGTGACCACATGGGTCTAGGAGAACAGAGGTTGGATTTCAGAGCCCTCAAAGGCTGGTAGCCTGGATAGACCCCTACAACCTCGGTTAGAAATCCAAATGGCTATACCTTAGGAGAGTGAATTGAAAGTAAAATAGTCTTCAGATGGACCACAGACCAGCTTCCAAGAATCCTGATGGCCAAATAAATATCAATCCCTAACATCAGATGGAAGTGATCTTAGCTTAGGTGGTACCCTAAAAACCTTGGCAGATGGAAACCCGCATCACTTCCAGATAGAGAGAACATCATGCTCTCTGGTCCTCAATTTACCTCTCTGAACACTTTTCAAATGCAATGTCCAAACACAACCAAAGATAACCAGGCACACCAAACAACTATAACTGAAAAGTAGGAGAAATACAGACACACATGAATTAGGTACATGAAAATAATTAGAAATGGATATGAAAATGGTAATTCTGGGATTCCTGGCTGGTTTAGTCAGTAGAGCATGTCTCTTGAGTTCAAGCCCTACTTTGGACACAGAGCTTACTTAATAATAATAATTCTTGCTATGTGTAAGAACATAAAATATGTGATTAAAATTGGGAGAGAGAAATTACAACTTTTAAAAAAAGGGGTGACTGGGTGGCTCAGTGGGTTAAAGTCTCTGCCTTTGGCTCAGGTCATGATCCCGGATTCTGGGATCAAGCCCAGTATCAGTATCGGTATCGGGCTCTCTGCTCTGTGGGAAGCCTGCTTCCCCCGCTCTCTCTCTGCCTACCTGTGATCTCTGTCAAATAAATGAATGAAATCTTAAATAAAAAAAAAAAGTGACATCGATTTTTTTTTCACTGCATAACTTATTTTATGAAGCCAGTATTATTCTGATATTAAAGCTTGACATCAATTTTTTAAAAGCACCAAATAATACAATATAATACCAAAAATCAGTACTCCATGGATGGGCCTAAAAACACACTGGACACTTAAGTCTGCAGGAGAAACAAAAACAAAAACAAAACCAGAATGAAATAAAAGAGGCAAAAAGATGAAAAATTTTTAAAAGTAGA